GCGAAATAATTTAAAGCTGAAAGTATACTTATTGGCATATTGTGAGATAAACAATTACGGCTTTTTTTATTGGAAATGTTATTATTACTTTCTAGTCATTTAAATAAGTAATTAGTGTAATATTCTTTCTCAAATAGTTATTTGATTCAAGCACCCCAATTATGTATTTACGGAAACTTTTTCATTCATGATCATGAGTATATGTGAAATTATATATATATTTTTTTAAAGTTTGATAAGGGAGGGGCTTCGTATTAGCTATAAAAGGGTATATTACAAACTGACATGAAATGAAAGTTTTACTCATAACCGGACTCCGGACTCCGAACTCAAAATTCAAATTGATCAAATTTTTATTTTACAAATCCTAACATATACCTGGTTTTTTTTTGTTCAACTTTTGTTGCAATAAATTTATTAACGTTATTATAAAAATAGATGTTTGGCTTATATTTATTTAAACTGAATGATTGTAATTAAAAGATCACAAGTTGCGCACCATCTCCTACATTTTAAAAATGAAAAGTTCGCAATGATATATTTTGTGTGCTAAATCTTTCTCCGAGTCACCATCTTTTGGCGTATATATTTCTTAAAAAAATATTAGGATTATTAAACTGAATAACAAATTATAACATTTGGCGCGCACCATGAAATCGTGGAATCTCTTCAGATTTACAACAAATATCTTTTCAAAAAGGAGAAATCGAATAGTTCAAATGAGCCTTTTTAACATTGGGTTCCGATCCACAATCTTTTAACCAATTATTCGTTCCATCTTTTTCGCGTTATACTTATCTTGAATTCGGTAGGTCATAAGACTACAAAAAACGGATGTTTTTCATATAAATATTTTTTACCCTTACTCCCGGCCAAGAGACTAATAAATAATAAGGTATAATAAATATTTTTTTTTCCTACTTCTTTACCGTTCGTGAAAGGTATATTTAATAGCGCCGATCTAAATAATAATAAAAAAATTTTTTAAATTTGATTTGTAATTAAAAGTTTTTTTTTTATCAATTTTTTTTTTTTATTTAAAATCTTTATTAAATGTATTTATATATATTTTTATAATAAAAGTTATCAATTTTACATTTTTATCTTCATACCATTTGAGTTTAGAGTAACTGAAAAGGAATGTTGCAAAGTTATGTATATTCAAATTGAATATACGCCGCCCGGACAAAAGTATCCGGATACCTTCGGAAAATGGCTTTTTTTAAATCTTCTGTAATCGGTAAATATCATGTGACATATTACGAATTTATATGATTTTCGAAGTTAAATGGTTGTAGTTTAGCCAATTAGCTTTATAAATAGTAAAATTTTAATCGTGGTTATATTATGAAATAAGTGATACAAAGTTTTAAAAAATACTTTTTTTTATGTTTTACTAATAAATTCCGAAAGTGTCCGGATACTTTTGTCCGGGCGGTGTATGTGCTGCGCACTGAATACAAATTATTATACGCAGGTACACCCACGTGATTAGTAATTTTTGACCCGAATGTCTGTTGACCAAAATTAAAAAAAAAGTTTAACAATACTTGTTTGTGCAATATATAGTCAATGTTCCTTGCGAAATTTATGCTGAGCTGTTAAGCAAGTGCTGGCAATTCTTTTGACATCCCCGAAGGTGATTAATGGAATAAATTGTTCATGTTTTTTATAGTTATCTCTTTATTTTAGAACTAATAGTTAAATAACTCGTAGAATGATATTAAAAGGTAATAAAGTATTGTAATCTTCTTCTTAATAGATCTTATATTGGAGTTTCCTCATCAACTGATTCTTCTTACGTCTAACAGAAAGTCTAAGAGAAACAAAAAATTATCTTGTCATAACAGGAAATAGAAAAAAATGTTTTCGTAGCAACCAATGGAAAACAGAGTTTTAATTTTTTTCACTACAACTCAGACATTCAAATAGATATCAAATGGATCATACGAAATTATTGATTTCTTTGATGATTCAATTATTGGATCTGGAGCTGAAACTACGAAACTTGGTTTATTAAAATAAGATTATATCGTTCTTGATCGGATCAACTTTTATTGCTGGCATTCTGAATCTGTAGTCGTATTAGTGTGTTTAATGTCATTGGCAAGTATTGGTGGTTACTTTACCAGGATCATATGATAGAGAGGCATAGGCAGTGTTGTCATGGGACATTGATGGGACACTGATGGGACATAGATAGGACAGATAGAACATTTGGGACATAGTGTGTGACAGGTTGGGACATATAGCTGGGATAACAAATCTCTGGGACATCAAAAATGGACATCACTAGGCATAGGTGCCTAGCTCGTGTCGCGTCTAGTTATATCGAGGAACAGCATGATTGTTATTGTTTTGCAAGATGAATTTTAATAAATTTGATCAATTGTAAATATATTGAAAACTAGTGTCACGTATCGTTATAGATATTTCTATAATGGATCATATCAAAATAGCTTTGCATAAGAATGATGCTGAATTCCAAAGAAGTGTGATCGAGTTGTAGAAATTTTTTGTTAAAACCTCCAAACATTTTTCCCTTGTCGAACTTTTTTTAGATGCATAAGCTCATGATATTGGAAATCCTGATGTTCATCATGTAAGTATTTGGAATATGTTATTTATAGAATCAAATGTTATTAAAAGGGTCATTTGCAAGAGGATTAGAAGATACTTCAATAGATGCATTGTCTGAACGAGATATTAAATTAATCAAGTTTCACGGAATTCATCAATATGATCGTGATGAAAGAAAAGCTAAGGTTTGGAAAATGCTTTCCATTATATGGTCGAGTTAGAGTTTATGGAGGGCTTTTCAATGCTTAGCATGGATGAAATCACTGAAATGTATTGTTGAAATTACTCAACTGGACAAGCGTAGAAAGCTGGTGCTAATATTATGATTGGTTAGTATATTCAATTGACAATAATTTGCGCAAAAGCCCAACGTTAATAAACATCCATTTATTGACCGCGCTTACTTTAGGAGCAGCTTTGATTCACAATGAATAAGCCTCTCCAATGGTGAGTTTTTTGATGATTTTTCAATTAATCACGGGCGAATCGATTTCAATCATAACGTTAGCGCCTATGATCTTTACCAAATTCATCATGTTAAAAATTAATGAAGGTTTGAAGATTTCACAAATAATCTGAATTTCGAGAATGATAATTCCAATCATTTGGACGGCAATCTGGTCATTATTTCGAAATATTCACCTTTGGTTTCTTGGGAGGGGGGGACTGAACCTACATATTATATAATTCAGGATTCGCAGGTGATCCTATCATGCAGCTAACATCAATTCGTTAGGTGCCATCAATTTCTTATTAGCATTATGAACACAAATTGTTTCGAATTTTTTTTTTTTATCTTGAATCACAGGATTAATAGAGCAACATGTTATCGTAATAGTTTATGTAGACACATAAATTGAACAACCTCAACCTCAAATAATCTAAGGTGTGTAAAGAAGATTTAACCGTGAATTATTATTTGCGTGTTATGATAATCGTCGCGGTTCTATCTTGCTAATTTATAGGTGGAGAAAGGTCAAAACATATTGAGAATAATGTTAATAGTATACCTTATGAAAGAGTTGGTTGTATACTCCCCAATCATAACACTAGTACTCAAGAATTATAAAAACTAGGTCCATCGCATCTGGTCTTCAAGCAAAAATTATATTATGGGGGAGTCAGCATTACCATATCATATTGTCCTGAATCTGATTCCTTGTCATCGATCTCTGTCATTTTAATGGCATCAGCCGCTTGGGTAGCTTCTGAAGTCCCAAAATTTCCGGTTACTCCACGTAATTCAAATTACATGTTCCAGTCAGTTAAGATATTGGCATTTCCGTGCTGAAAATGAAGACACAATAATCTATCCATCACCTGGTAGTAACCTTTTTTTTTCATTGGACTTGAAATTTATTGATTTAATTCTAATTAATAATGATTACGTCAATTGCTATCTATTAATGCTAGAAATCCGATACCTTCACTTCGAATGCTTTCTGATATTTAAACAAGCGTGACCGTAACCGTTTTAACATCTTGCACATCATAATTGTGTATGGAACCAGATACATATATTGTTTCTTATTTTATTTCTTCTTCACTTCCGTTCTTACCATGTATAGTTGCTTAAAAAATATACAGAATGTTTAATTGCTCGTTGTCAACAGATAATAGAGAGAAATTTTTTATGTGGTATTGGTAATATTAGTTATAGCTGGTGGATTGGCTGAGACTTTATATTAGAGAGGTAAATTTCATGGGAAGGATGCGGAACAAATATAGATAGATATAGATCCATATAGGAGATATATCAAGTTTAGAAAAGTAGAGCTTTCGAGTAAATGTTATGAAATGACATAATAAAAATTAATTATACATAAGAATTGTGTGGTTTATGACCTTCAAATTTCACTTTTTTTTTCTTAGAAAAAAAAAAATAAAATCAATGATTTTGAACTATTAACTCGTTGAGATAGGTAGTTCGTAGAGGAGTCAGTTATTCTATTCCTATAGAAGGAAATGAACTGTCATATTTGTGAGTTCTATTGAAGAATCCGGAACTATATCTGGCAAGCATAAAAAGCATAGATTTATTAAACAAATAAGAAAATGAAATTCCAAGTTATAGAGTTATCAAATGGTAATAAGTTGCAAATAATTTATTAGCTTTTCTTTCATTATTATTATAAATCATTAATAAATTTGTTTTATTATTCGTTTCCCCCTTAGTAAAGTGCAATTGACACAAATGTGTATGACACCTCGGAAAATATGATCGCACATAACAATAATAATAATGCCAGAATTTTGAAAAAGGAACAGATACTCTCGCCGCTTGCGCTACAGAGACATTTCTCCCCAATAACACCCATTCGTCAACTAGAAAATTAATTTTTTGATAATAATTATCTCATACATATATATATATGTATATATATACACCCACCAGTGCATTACATCGACCACAATAGATTTTAGACATTTTGCTTTTCAGAATAAACATCATCATATCCTTTAAGATCTTTACTAGAGTAGCCTGCATATCTTTGCCTAATGTTGCTGAATTACAGTCAAATACTGGAGCTAATTAATGATATTTGGATTCAACCTTTTCCAAATCTGACAAATTGCCAAATATCAACACCGACATTTCTGCGGTCACCAATTCTACGACTTCAATCCTCGACCCGCCACCATTCATTCTCCCTCACTTCGGCCTGCCCCATGGTACTCGCCGATATCATCCCATCTATCGAATAACCACCACCGTATTTTCAAATCGATGAAATGTTCGTACAACGTCTCAAAGAGGAAGAATATTCGTTAATTCAAATTCATCCCTTTCAACTTACTCTTTCGATAAGGGATCTGTTATCAACAGCTAGGAAGAATCGTATTCAATTGACAGCACTAGATTAATTTTTGAACAAATTATCTCTAGAAATTGTCTTTGCAGGACGTGGTGATGTCGTGCTGTCGTGTTTCATAATGGAGAACCTGTATATATGCATTTGCATTATATACATTTGTTGGATTTAAATTTTTAAGTTGTGTAATAATATTTGTCTTTATTTATATCCTAGAATAGAATAGCAGATGTGCTTGAGATTTTTAAGTGCTAAAGCTTGCCTTAGTGTATTCATTTAAAACCTTTCTAGATGATCGTGATGAAGAAAAGGTAAAGTTAATATGCTTTCCAATTTATGATACAAGTTGGAGGTTTTGGATGAAGACACGTAGTTGCAGTGAATGACAATAAAGATTGTGCTATTTATTGTAATTGGTTGGTTTCACTTATGATCAAATCATTTTTATGTAGATCCCGATATTATTTACATACAGTCATACCGAACCAAAAACTCGTTATATCGAACCAAAATCTCTAGAACAAATTTTTTATAATTTTTACACTGGATATAACGAATTTCTATAATAAATGCTATATACATCCGAACTCAATCCACTTATATTAATCATATATTTTATATACCGAACAGTCATGTGACCAAATGGTAATTTATAATACTGGCCAGAATTATTATTTGACATTAAATAAAAATGGTTAAAACAGTTTTGTACAATGGTTCTGGCTCTAATAGAATAACTCTATGGAGGATTCTGATTCGTTTAAGTCATGTTTAAATTACCAGTCATTCTTTTTATTTGAAATTCAGGTCATTTAAAAATGACTTATGATATAATGATCTATGTCATTTAGGTTATTCAGAATTTTCTAAAATATTTGGATTATTTAATTATATTAAAATCATATGCAAATTATATAATTATTAATTGAATATCTGATTTTTTTTTTTCATTTAAATCTTATTTTGAGTTAAATTAAATTTGTTTTGAACTAATATATTTTTAAGTAATATGAAAAAAAGAATATAACTTTCAAGAGTGTTTTTTTCTGATTATATCAGGTAATTCAAGAGCAAATAAAAAAGCTATTTGCTAATTATATATAAGAAAATATATCTTATGTATTGCATAATTAAGATCCAATTGTTTTGTTTCTAATAAAGCAAAATTATGTTAAGTATATTTAAAAAATGCTTAAATTTTAAGCAAGAATATAATGATGATGAAAGGAAAGAAATTCTTTCACATTATATATGAAAAAACTCTTTCAACAAAAAAATATTATTAAAGAAACTTCTAAACTTAAAAATGATGATAATTCTATTATTATTTTTAAATCTATACCACCTAATTCTTTTATAATTACAATAAAACAAACTTCTCAAATTAATTATATTTCACATTTATTATCAACTAAAAATAACTAATATTTTGAAAATTTGGTATTGCTTATGATAGTTTTAAATGATTTCCTTTTACATTTATAAAAAATAAGAAAATATAAGATATTTTTAATTTTATAGTACCTGCATTAAAGCTACTTAAAACAATAGGCAATAAGTGATAGAATACTTCTAAACTCTGCAAATGAATTAATAAAATCAATTTTATAAGTTATATCTAATAATAAAATTAGAGTAATAGCAGCTTTTGATGATTAGACTAATATAAGTAAGAATATCTTTTTAAAATTACTTTATTATTTCTTAAAGTTTTATTACTTCTTAAAATGAAATTTTAATTTGAAAAATATATGATATTAGTAATCAACAAACAAGAACTGAAGATATAAAACTTTTTATTAAAATATAATAGATGATACTAAATAAAAAAAATGTTAAATTAATTATTATATATTATATTTTACTAATGAATATGTTTAATTTAAAGAGATTAAATATTAAATTACTATTATAATTAATAAATGCTAATTAAGAGTAAAATATCCCAATAAGATCTTTATATCCTGTATGATATATCAGATGAATTTAATTATTAGAGATATTTTTAAAGAATCTTAATGATAATGATAATGATAATGGTAATAGAATAGTAGTGATGCTTCTCTTTACTTTGTTGCTATTACTGCTAATAACGATGATAATAATAATGATGATGATAATAATGTTGGTACTTCTCTTTACTTTATTACTACTGCTAATAATAATGATAATGATTATAATAGTAATAATTATGATATTTTTCTTTACTTTATTACTGCTACTGCTGCTGATAATAATAATAATAATAATAATAATAATAGTAATACTTTTCTTTGCTTTATTGCTATAGCTGATTATGATAATGATGATAATAGTGATAATGATAGTAGTGATATTTCTCTTTACTTTATTGTTACTGCCGCTAATAATAATGATAGTAATGATAGTAGTAGTAATACTCATTTTTACTTTGTTGCTACTAATAATAATGATGATAATGATAATAGTAGTAATGGTGATATTTTACTGCTGATGATGATAATGGTGATAATAGTATTAATGCTTCTCTTTACTTTATTGCTGCTATTAATAATAATGATATTGGTTGTAATAGTGATGATAGTAATACACCTCTTTACTTTATTTCTGCTACTGGTAATAATAATGATGATGATGGTAATAGTAATGGTGATAATGATAATGATATTCTTCTTTACTTTACTGCTGCTACTGATTATAATGATGGTTGTAATAATGGTAATAATAGTGGTGATAATACTCCTCTTTACTTTACTACTAATAATGATTATAATAGAAATAGTGGTAGTAATAGTCTTCTTTTTATTTTGCTACTATTGTTAATGATAATGATAATGATAATGGTAATAATATTCTTCTTTATTTTACTACTGTTAATAATGATGATAATAATAATAATGGTAGTAGTAATAGTGATAATGCTTCTCTTTACTTTGTTGCTATTGCTGCTAATGATGATGATGATGATGATGATGGTGGTAGTGGTAAAGATACTTCTCTTTACTTTATTGCTACTGATGATAATGGTAGTAGTGGTAGTAGTAATAGTAGTACTTTTGCTGCTGATGATGATGATGGTAATAATAGTATTAGTACTCCTCTTTACTTTATTACTGCTGCTAATGATAATGATAATGGTTGTGGTAGTGGTGATGGTGATACTCCTCTTTACTTTATTGCTGCTACTGCTGCTGCTGCTGATGATGATGATGATGGTGATGGTGGTGGTGGTGGTGTTAAACGTGTAAAGTTTATGTTAGAGATCGTCCTAGGGAGCAGTAAAGATAAGTACTTTCTTTCTCTTGTTTAAGGTTACAAATTGGATTTTGTCTGGTGTGGGGTGAACGTTAACTTGTAGAATGCTTCCTACAATTAATGTGACAATCTCGGTTGAGTGGTACAATTAACATTCTGGATGAAAGATTGAGAGATTTCAGGTAAGTTTCGTTGTGTAGGTAATCAATTGAGGCGTTATAAATTGACCAAGACGTTTTCTCGAATTATAGAAGCTTTCCGCGATAGATACAAGCCATTTGACAAAATTTTTTTTTAAATTTTTTTATAATCTTTGGTTTACGTCACCAAGATTCGATGGTGTTGCGTCGGGGTAATTTCGATTAAAAAGGCCAATCCGAAATTTTATACTCAGTATCAAACGTATTGATATTATTAATACGGTAGGTCATCATAAAGAAGATTTTGATTTTTCAGTTTAAAAATTTTTTCATTTATTAATCAAGAAAAATTTTCGTTAAATTCGGAAGATAATTAACAGATCAAATGTAAATTAGGGAAATTATTATTATTATTCGATACAAACACCTGAAAATCTTCCCCGTCTTTTTGATCTTATTAAGCCGAAAGATAACAGTTCATTCCAGCATTTTATATAGTAATGGAAAAAGCATATAGGAATAAGTTAAAGTAGGTATAATAATTTAAGTAAATATTTTCATATAATTATGTTTTTTAAGTCGAATTAATCTTATTGATTAGGACACTTCCGGTAATAAATCAGTATCTGGTAATTTCATTGGCGGTTGTATTTTAATTTCCGAGAGGCGATTATTATAATATGTAATCCTATTAATCATTTGTATTTTAGGATCTGCGTGCAAATCGCTACCGTCTGAAGTTCTTTTGTTAATTTAACCAAGATAAAGTTCTGATATACGAATGATGGTAATGGTATTTAATAATCGCTGTTAATATAAATTTAAAAATTCCTAATAATAATTAAAATATTTCTAGGAGATTTTGATGAAAGTTCATGTGTTGTCATTTAAAAAGACATTTTAATCAAAAGATGATTGGAAGCTCGGAGTGAATTAATTGTTGAATTGATTGCTATACCTACGATAAGTTTTAATGGTCACGATGTAATTTTGGAAGCACGAAGTTGCAATAGAGAAAAAGACAATTTGATATTAACTATAAATCTCCTAATTTGAAGCGATAAATAATGAAGCTGATAATTGATGATATGAATAAAGTATTGAATTACGCAAGCGCATAATTCCTCTTGAATGAATGGGAGATAAAAATACACGAATAGGTGCTTAATGACAACACGTGATGCAGTGATTAGGAGCTTTTTGAATCAACAATACTAGTGTTCCACAATTTATTTCGGACTACAAAATGATCTGATATTTTGGATTGATGATGATTTTCTTGTTTGGATGCCATTATTCATACATTTTAGAGAACGTTTATGGGTAAGTTAACATTTTATCAAGATACGCGTCAGTAACAAAATAAAGTATTTTTTTGTGATGATTTTGAATCTGGGTTCAGTAAACAGATTTTCATTAAATATTTGGCACAAGAGTAAGCAATTTTGACAGTATCATAT